CAAGCGAGAATCCAATCGACTATCTTTATATCCTGCAGCAAATTGCCGCACAGGCATTTCCTCGTTTAGATGTAATTGGAAGAGAAGAATTAGTTCGTTCACGTTTTGTCGAAGGATTATATCCTGGAACTCTAAGGGAACATTTCCTTCGAAGTCCACCAAAAGATACATCTGACTTGAAAAGAACAACATTACGGTTTCTGGCCGCTGACAAACTAGCGAATTTACCAGATGCACGACCAGCATCAGTGATGAATGTGGGACAAGCCGCGAACTCTAGTGGGCTGGACAATTTCCAGACGATAATGGCTGTGACCGACTCATTTAACCGGGGTGTCAGTCGCGGACAGCTAAGTTCAAGACGGAATGGAAGGTCGCCAGGGAAAACTTACCGGAATCAGCAAACGGAATGTTTTTACTGCAAACGCTTTGGGAAAAATGCCAAGAAATGCGGGCATAATACAGTGAAAAACAAAGGTAAGCAGTGTTGTTTGCATATATCGTCCTGCTATATTAAACGTTTATGCCCTGTTACTATCAAAGGTAGAATACAGAGTACTGACATTAATATACTATTAGATACGGAGGCTCCTGTACATAATGACTTTGATGCTGTTACAGTAGCAGCAGGTAATTACCATCAACCATTCGCTTAGCCCGCTACTAAGCAGCCTTCTTGAATGTCCGTTTTTACTATCAAAATATTTCAACAAGTTGTCAGTTTTTTATTTTGTTTAAATACTTCATTATGTTTATCAATCGCACAAAATGTACAGGTACGTTTATGAAAACCATACGACCTTTTTCTGCACAAGTTTCAAAAAAGTAAACAATAGACATCGTGTTTGTTGGCAATATGCGTTGAAGAGAATGAACATTAATCATATGTCAATTCCAGAGCTGCTAAATTCTAACTGCCGAACACTGATCACCAAAGTAGACTAACTTCAGTTCCTATCAATTGACTTAAGTCATAATATCCCAATTTCTTGGGAAAATTTGACCTGTTAGGGAGAAATTTTGAGTAAATGGTACCAGAACCCATTAATTTCCCCAACATTTTGAGATTTTCTCCAATATTTCTCCAGAACTTCGGGGATTTCCCCAATACTTTACTTATATTTCCCCAAAATTTTAATTACACTCTTTGGAAAGCCGTCTATATTTATTGATACCCCCCAGATTTTCCGCAACTTTGGTGAAGTTATCCAGATGTCTCGCTTTATAGCAATCCTTCTCCACAATTTTCGACAGATATCTTGGAAAACCTGGCGACTTCATAATAAGTACCCAAACGTTTACTCATGTATTCCATTTTTTCCTGTGAATTTGCACATTTAATGCAGTGCCGAAGCAACTAAACTACAGTCAGTAACGGGAATCGATCTCTCGCTGTAACTAAAATATCGATTTGTCACACATTTAAATGTTTATTAAGGTTTAATAAATTAAAACTTATCCATTATTACATGGTTTCTCCCATTTCTTACTTACTGATCGTGTGTTTTGGAGAGGTACGTTAGGTAGACGTTGAAATATCATTCACAATGTTACACAAAATGTCACTCTTTAGTAAACAAACAGATGTCATGGTAATCGTCCAATTTATGATGACGTACCAACGGTATGGCAATATTGTGAATAACCCGAATAAAAATCTTGTAGTTACGTCTGTTAACACTTGCGAAGCCGGCGGAAAATAAGACGGACAAGAAATAAGTGTTTCAGTATAAATGTTTATCACAAACTAGTACCAAAACAATAGCCGGTACTTAATCAAATTTTTAAAGTGCATTTAGCCCACCCTTTCTTTAGATCTCCATCCACCCTTATTGACTTTATCTATTGCGTCGTGCAAGAAACTCTAGCTTGCAACACTCATGGTGTGTCATTTATTTCTTTGGACAGATTGCACTTGGGTACCGGGGACACAGAACATATACAAATATTTTAATACCGTAATGTGAATTAACTTTGAATCGTCTTGTGGAGTATGTAATTACTGATACCCAATTTAGTTTTAGTTCCGTGTATAGTATAACTGTTTGCCAGTTCCGGTGACAGCAAGTAACCAAGACATGCTTCAATTGATTTACGAAGATCATTACATATGACCTCGTACAACCTGGCGGCCTAAAACCTTTTGAAACACCTGCGAAAACTTACGAAATGATCACAAAACTTGAGCTACTCAAATCAACATCAAAAGTCCGCAATACCTGATGTGTTTTGATGGGAATACAAAGCTTGAAGTGTCTGCGTAGACGGTTCGCCTGTCCTTAACTCCTATGGATGAGCATTTAGAGTAAGCGATTACCTTATCAATCTTGGTAGACAGATCGCTGATTGCTTAAAGTTATTCTGAGCACCGACGAGTTGTATCTCGTTATACCCATAGCTATTTGTTTGGTCCATCCGGTCTCTCACATTATCCGGACTTTCCATGTACATAAATTAATTTCTGCCTTGGTTTTAAGACAGTACATCGGTCTCGTGACTTCCGAAGAATCCTGGCTTTCACCATGAAGAGTCATGGTTTTTTTTGAGTAGAAGTGGTTCAAAATGTTTATTCTGGTTAGTGTTTTTTGGCAAGGTTATTTCTTATATGGTTGAGATGCTGACTTCATATGCAACCCCTCTCCTTTACGCGGTCTATCGCCCAGTAGTGATCGTAGGGAAACTGCAGTCGGCGTTAAAGTTAATATTATTACGACAAAAATATGCGAAAAATATAGGAACAGTTTTGAATAGTGTGAGACGGATGATTCTGCAAACCAATTAGAAAGCTGATGTGCCGTGATATCAATGAGTTTTCAGGTAATCCGGTTGACTTCGCCAATCGATATATCTGAACAAGGCAGCCAGTTGTCGAAATCCCCTACCGTTCAAAATACTCAAAGCACTCCTCCAAAGCTTGATGTTTTTTCTACGAATCAGAATACATCCGCGACTTACATTGCTGAAAAAAAGACAAGGCGTCGGAATCATCCAAGACTCCTGTGCGCAACGTTCACCTGCACTGTTGGCTTAAAGAATGCTTTGCTGGCTATTCACCTACTAAAACCAAAAGGGGATTTAAGGATACTGTATAATATACAATGTTCTGAGCATAAGCCCATCAACGACATATCGAAGGAATTTTGGGAGACGCTCTCTCGTGGAAGAAATGTCATTGTGTGAGTTGTTCCAACAAAGACGGACGTTGTCTATGAGAATTATAACATTCCAGTGTAAAACTTCATAAATCGGTCTTTGAAGCTAGATAACATATTGACTCAACAGATGGTGCGACTAGCCAAGAAGGACGGGGATACCAGACCCCGACTATTGAAGTTATCCTTCCTACCTTCCCTAACAACGGCTGTCAATCTCAAGGCATTTCATGACAACAGACACCAGTTACTAACAGGTCCCCACATTCATCAGGATAGGTGACACGATGCAAGGATTAAGAACAATAGCAAATCAAAACCGACTTTTCTACTTGCAGACTGTCCAGAGCCATTGAAAAATGTATGATGGAAAGGAACTCGGAAAACTTTGTGTAGGTTGGTTGCCTGTCCATTCACATAAGTCTCAGTCAAATAAACAAGACGGGGGAGCCATGCGTTTTAAATAGAAGGCATCGATTGCCTATGTACGAAAGCTAAGAACTTACCGAGAAAATGAGTGAGTTGAGTGAACTAAGTGTCGTTAATAATACTCATTTGATAGAAATAGTTGAAACATGTATATCTCATAGGATTGCGGAGCAAGAGCTGGCACCACACTGTATATTTTCGCTCTGTAATGACTAAAATTCTGGTATTTAGGGTGGGGTAGCCTTGTACTTACGGTGTTACTTGATGGCACAACAAGTGAATATTCAAAGATCTGTCAGTCTTGACGAATTTGCATGGTACTCAGTGAGATTGTTTAACACCTCGAGATGCCTAGTTAGAGTGATCTATAGATAACGCACTGCTGACACTGAGTAAGACAATCATATGTCGTAGGATTATCATGCGCTGCACATTGAGGATACACTCGTATCTCAATTCTAGGGAACTTATATCTTCATAGAGTCAACTTCACTGACCACACGCACATTGTAGATGACAGTTTCACGAAAGCCCGGTTCTTCAACGTCACTAAAAATTTAGGACTATTCAGCAACATAAAATTACTAACTTAGTGGAGAAACAGTCAGACGCCATCACACGCAGACTCCATATTTGCGAACTAATAATTTCTAGTTGAAAACCCTTCAATCCTGATATCTTCGGATAAAAGTGATCAAACCACTGAAGCATCCTACTAACAAGCACCAATACTTAAAGCAGTTCGATTTGCCAGAGTTACAGGTCAATATGATGCAGGTGAATTGAGAAGTCAATCCTCAACTTGACATGGACGGTCACTGGGATCTCTGACTGTATATAATCTTACGTGCTACAAAATAGTCCATTCAGAAAACGGTTCCCAAAAATTACAAGCGGCGTACGGCACAAAAGAATCTCACCCTTACGATGGTAAGACACAAAAGGTACTAATCAGCTGGACATAAGCAAAACAATGACAAGAGCAAATATAGGCGACGCAAACGAGCAAAGAACTATTGCATAAAGGCGATAAGAGAAGATAGACTTCAGCATCAGATCAAGCTAGTCGATAAATCTGTCAACAATCCGCAAAGCTTATACCTTCTTGCACCCTCTTTTTTATCGACAAACTAACCTATGTTCCGTGATACGAAAGGCTTCTCCGTCCACAACAATTTACACTGTTTGATTTGTTAATTGTTTCATAAATATAGATATTCATTTGGAAGAATTAGCACTGAGCTGCTACAAGAAACACTATTACCTGAAATAAAAGCTCACTGTATTCCGTTCATAACTATTTAAGGCTTATACACGACAGCACAAAACGCATTGGGAATTGAAATGAAGAGCAATCCGCAAATGCTTGCGTTACCTTGACTGGGAGATTTCTATACATTATGGCTAAATACAGTAGGGATGAGCGTTGGTAAAAGGAAGTTCACACAACACATCATACCCAACCCTCAAACCTTTAAATGCAAAGATGGTTCGTCGGTTGGAAACAATGAGCTCGCTGAGCAGATGGTTTGAACTTATGTTATTAATAAACTGATTTGTTTTAGTGGTGTTCATCTATTTCTATGCCAATTGACTACGAGGAATATGTTACAAAAAATAAGGCACTCATTGTTAATGACCCATACCGGGAAACCGTACTTTTTCCTCAAGACGATTTGAAGGTGATATTTTATGATTATTTATAACTTTTGCGTTGCTTGTAGCTCATTATTTTGGTAATAAATGTAAAAAAATAGTACAATCTCATCAGATAACATTTTTCATAGGTTAGGACAGTCGGACATCACTTTGCAGACAGTTATTCAGTCCCAAAATTTCTAACTACTGAATTGATAATGGCTAATTTCTCCATACATCTAATTTACTGACACACAGCTACTTGTCTATTTAAAATGAACAATCGTCTCTGTACAGTTTTCACAATTCTAAACTCGGGCTATTTGTGATAAGCTTGCATTGAATTGGGGTTCACTTGTCTAATATGTATGCGGTAAACATGTTTTTGCTGTTCAATACGAACTCCTAATTATTTTCAAACCAGTGAAGCAATGCATGGTAAATGCTTAATGTGGCTTTAAAATATTTTGACAGGAACAGGGAAGTACCGATTTCTTTGGGGTCTGTGTTCCATCTATTTAAGTATATGAAGTTCATTATTTCTCTCGGAACTCAGCTTCTTTCGATATATCTTAAAATCCCCTCATAGTATCCCTAAGAAATGTAGGCGTTCATAATTTGTTTTTAGAAGTAGTCCTACATGTGTCAGTCATATGGTATAACCTGGGAAATGACAGTCATGGTGATCGTAAAGTCTGGTATAAATCTACATCGTACCAGACTGCTAAACCACCCATTTGAAGTGTAACATGTGAATATAGAAAGTCTAGTTATTTAATAGCTATCTACTAACGCATTACATAATCGTGATAATCGGTTGTCTGTATTCCTTTTATCCATTAGTACTGTTGATATTTATCAAACTTTCAAACATGCTAATGCGTTCGTTTCATATGGCTTTGTGTATTAGTGTAGATAGTGCTCATATTCCTCATTTTTTTGTCTGTCCAACCAGAAAAATAGGTTTGTAAGCAAACTGGTGTACCAGTCATAATGTCTCACTAGATTTGTGTATATTAATCTACCCATATATTTCAGGTGGTCAAAATTCCTCATGTTCATCGAACATTCAGCAATGTTGTTCCCGAGGCTGCACTAAAACATGATTTATTTACTTCAAATTCATTGGCACGCCATGCAGTATCATTTTTTGCTACAACTGAATGGATCTATATTCAACAAATATCTTCCATTTATCGCGGGAATTTTCTCTCGCTTCCGTTTAAGAAGTAAGGTCTTTCGTTTTGAATTTTCATGTTTTTGTGAATGTAAGATTAATGTATAATTCATTCTAGTCGTTAGCATTTTCATCGACTCTTATGTTTAGTTTATATAATAGTAACAAAGCACTTTCGTAAACGGAGGAATTCGCACTGTTATCTGATAATATATGAGAGCAGATTTAAAACTAGATTCGTGTAAAACTTGATAACTAATGTTGTACACTTTACTAATAGAAATTAGTTCGGTTAATTACAAATGAATTACTCAGTTTTATAGGGGAAATGTCCCAGTTGTTTGTTTATTAAGATTCAATAATTACGGTATGTCTTTTGATATTTTACTTATATAGTCAAGTGGTTTATGGATCAGAATAATATAAAATTACTTATGGTTAATTACTTGACCTTATGTCATTCTGGCTGAAGTTTGTAAATGTAGGTGGGAATTCTTCAGCTATCGATTGCATGAAAAAAGCACAAATACAGTTAGTAGATTTTATTGTTAGTTGTGTTAAAGACCATATTTTGACCTGTTAAATTCACCTGGTCGAGTGATTAGTTTTACCACCGTGAAAGTCTAGATTGCGACTTACAGGCACTGAGATAGAAATATAGCTTGTAAATCAACTGAATAATTCTGAAGTTGGGCGTAGGGGTGCTGAATAAATATAGCTATTCGGTTGGTGAAGTAGTGACGTTTCATCCTTTGAGGTGGTTAGGACGTTTTACGTATACCCGACCACCACCTATCTCGAAACAATAGTGGATAGAGTGAGACATGGCATTAGACCATGAAATCACAGTGTTGGTCTGGTAGATGTTAGCTGCCTAATTAAGGACTATGAAACCATAACGGCTAGTTACATGTCTCAAATTGGTTTCAGTGGTGCAGGTTTATTCCCTCTTTGTTTATCTTTAGATGCTCAGTCTTTAATTTATTTTTATTCTATAAATTCGTGCTCAAACCATATGCTGTGTTTTTCGAATTTCTTCTGCCATCACTAATGGGACTACTTCTACTCTTACTAATTTCGTATGCATACTAAACTTTGAAATGGATCATGTTTTGCACTCAGAACAAGCGTTGACATTCTCTTTCGTTAGTTTTGAGTTGTCTTATTCAGTCTTTTTATCTATGACAAAACATTTCTAACATTTGGTAGTCAATCATTTTGAAATATTTATCTCTAATATATTTGATGTGATTAAATTTTGATGACCATTTCTTTATCATACGATCGAATTGTTTTGATTACAGTGATATTGATGAGTTAGGCGGAAAATTATCCCAATATTGGTTCTCAATTGATCATTCATTATCCAATAAAGATAGTCCCGATCATATTTTAGATTCCGATCATCTATCAACTAATACTGGCTCAAAAATAAAATCAGCTACAGGATTTCAAGTTCGTAGTCGTCGGTCAGCTATAAGTGGCCTAATGAGAACTGGTCAAAGTGTTTCTGAAACAGCTACTTCTAGTTCAGATAGTCGATTTGTAGGAAATTTTCAATCTAGAGATAATTTAAAATTGGAGAGAATCAACTCAGATACCAGTTTAATAAAACATGGCAGTAAATCAAAGGATATAGGACAGACTGATGAAGAATCAATCAATGATATTACTAAAAATTTGAGTTTTAGTGGGAAACAGTTTGAAAATGGAAAGTTTTCAGTAAGTATATTGTTTAACCTCTCTCGAAACTACCTATCAATCTTATTTGAAACTATTCCATGTCGTTGTTATTTATGCTAAGTGTACTTCAGAATGTACTTTTGATTATCAACAATTTGTTGAATTTTTGAACATATTATCTAATATATTATTTAGTTTAAAATGAGTGGTCAAAGTCGTTGTATTCGTATTATATCTTTCTCTACAATTATTCCTGAAAATTTATCATTTATTTATTTATTGGTACAAGGAGGCACCAAATACATATGTGCCACACAGATCTCATTTGATTTGTGCGAGGGCTGTGATACTGCCCGGGTGCCCAAACTGAAATAGGTGGTTTGCTTAGGGGGTCACACCCGGAGCCTTCGACCTGAAGATCTCATCCACAGGGCAGTGGAGCATCGTAAGGAGATGCAGTCCCATGGTAGCCGGTGACCAATAATTGGTTCATACACTGTTTGATTCCTTAGGATCATAGAGCCAGCCCATGTGCAGCATTGATTTGAAATGAGGGTTTTCCAACTCTTTTAGGTGGATTTTCCACATCCACTAACCCACCGGACGTTTATTTCTCATGTTGTCAATTTGCTAAACAACAGTAATGCTACAAGAAGGCAATGAGTAGGACTTCTATGTCAGTAGTTGTATTCACATGACCATGTAAGAATATTTCAAGAAGGAGATCTGACTCTTTTCACTCTTGACCGTACTCTAGGGTATTTGAGAATTAATCATAGAAACAAGTGTTACAACTTAAATTGATATACATTTTCATCAAACTATACATTATTATTTTCATTGTCTTCTATGTGTATATTATGCATGACAATGTTATAACAAATTATCATTGAACTTATTGAAAGGTGATGATGCATCTATTGATTTTTCAATGGTTAAAATCATGAGTTAGTTGAAGCTAAACCATCATGAAAAACCTGGGAGCACTGGACGACTGACCGTTTCGTCCTACTTTGGGACTCCTCAGCAGTGCGAGCTTCGAACCCAGGACCTACTAGTTTCGCGTGCGAACGCTTAACTTCCAGGCCACTGAACTGGCATCCATTGGTGTTAATGTCTAACTTCAACTAATCCATGAAATTGAGTGACACATCCACCATTGTCTTCAGTGAGTTACTATCTCATAATAGATATGGTTGAACTCCACTGGTCTATTGATTTTTTGTCTATATTTTCTTTTCTTTTTTCATTATTTTGATAGTCTACTACTTATTTAGAATGTCAACTTATGTTATGTAATCGTGAAAAATATCAAGAATATATTCGTATCCTAGAAGGATTATTATCATCTGGTATAGATAAACATGTTAATAAAACAAAATCATTATTTAAAAATTATGGAACAAAATATTATTGTTTAAGACAAATACAAATAGAAGAGTTGTGTGATAATGATAGACAAAAAACTTCCTTGGATACTATTGGAAGAATACGAAATTTATCCGTTGGCCTACATGTTATAGCACCATGTGATTGGCGTGCATCAAAAGTGTATTCATCATCTTATGAAAATGAGAATATTATATATTTAGGTAAATTTTATTATTGTTATTATTTTAATAGTTGAAATCATGAGTTAATTGAAGCTAGATCATCATGAAAAACTTGAAAGCACTAGATGACTGTTTCGTCCTATTTTAGGACTACTCAGCAGTGCGCATTTACAATCCCACCTCACAAGATTCGAACCAAGGACTTATCGGTCTTGATCCAGCATCCAATGATGTTAATGTGTTACTTTAACTAATCTACAATATTGAGCGGCACATCTATCATTGTCTTCAGTGAGTTACTATCTCACAATTAATGCGGTTGAACTCCACTAGTCACTGCTTCTCACTAGAACTCCAGGATATACACCTTGAAGCTAGTCACTAGTGTGCATATGTTGATTAGTATCAGTAGGGGTTTTGCGGCTATTGTATTAATTTCAATAGTTGAGATCATGAGTCAATTGAATCTAGACCATCATGGAAAACCTGGAAGCACTGGACGGTTGACCGTTTCGTCCTATTGTGGGACTCCTCAGTGGTAGTGCGCATCCACGACCCCGCCTTGTGGGATTCGAACCCGGGACCTATTATTATGAGTAATATTGTATTAATTAACTCAATAGCTTAGTGGATCATATTTGTTTTTATAGTTGAAAGCTTAGTGATTTTCAGTACTAAACTACTGAACATTTCATTTAATTTAGTCTGGTTCAATTTTGTTTAAAGTTACGAAGATGATTTTTCTAAGTTGTAACACAATCATTAAGAGTGAGAGTTTTTTTTTTGTTGGAAATATGATTGCCTTCGTAGTGACATCGGTGTATTATGTAAATACATTTCATATATACATATATATATGTATATCTTATTTTCATCATTTCTCTACAGATACCATTGAATCAGCACGTTCAATTGGTGATTATTGGATTCGTTTAGAAAGATTATTACCATCTTCGTCATCATCATCATTGTCACCGGTGCCATCATCTTCACCGACATCAAATTCTATTCAATCATCATCTATTAAACAATCCAATGAATTAACAACACCCAATAGTTCACTATTAAATGATGAAATATTTATTTATTTCGATCCTGAAATGAGTGATGTATTGGAGAAACGACAACTATGGTTGAATGCAATAGAATTAGCTTTAAAATTGGAACATTATAGACGACGTATAGGTTATCATCATCATCATCATCATCATCATCATCATCAATCAAATACACATTTTCACGAGAATTCAGACTCCACTAGAAGTAATAAACTAGATTTATTTAACAAATCTAACAATACAGACTCAGTACGCAGTGCTTTACAACGGGTAGGTTGGTTTTCATCCTGAGCGTATTACCTCAATATAGACTTTTAGTTACAAGTTTTAATGTAGCAGTGGAATTCTGCATGCATGTTTCATTTTATTACAAACCTTTACCAGTATACCCATTGAACAAGTATGTAGTAGCTTAATGGATAATGCGTTGACGTATAGGACGATAAACACTTGCCTAGAGTCGGATTATGAACATCAATACTGAAGTAGAGGTAAATCTGATTGACAATTGTCAAATAGGACTTAATACACGTACTGGACTGCACTGATAACTACAGTCCAAATATTCTAAAACTTTTATAGAAATTCATCACTATGCAAGCGTCGGAGCAGAGATGGATAGTGTTTATTTATTTAAACATATAGAAATTGGTACAAGGAAGCACACTTCGTCATTCGATTTGTGTAAGGGTTGGTATACTTCTCAGGCACCCAGACCGAAGCAAATGGTTTTCTTAGGAGACCACTCTTCGAGCCTTTAACCTACAGGTTTAATCTACAAGGCAGTGGAGCAACATCAAGAGATGCAGTTCCATGGTAGCCGGTGATCGACAATTGGTTCATATGCCATTTGTTTCCTTAGAATCCTGGAGCCAGCCTATGTGCACCATTAGTTTGGAATAAGTGATTTCCAATCCACCGAGGTGGATTCTCCATTTCTATCAACCCGGTTAAAGCACCAGGCATTTGCTTTTCATGTTATCAATTTCTTAAACAACACCCGTGGTGTGAAAATACAGTGAGTAGGACTTTTGTGGCAGTAGTTGTAGCTATTTGAGAGCATTTGGAGGGGGGAGTTGACTCTCCCCCTATACTCAAACGATCAGAATGCAGATATACACATGATTTTGATGTATATTGTTCACAAATCAAGCTTTCGACTACTACCACTACTAGACTGAAAGTTTGAATCCTACAACACTTTGGTTAGGACAACGAGACAGTATCTCAAGCCATCATATTGAAAATATAACTCAAAGCTAAGTATACGCATTTATGATTGGTAAAAAGGTGAAATTACTGAAGTCAATGGTTCACTTTTATCATATGCTTAAGCTGTAAAGCAACTGATATTCTATTTACTAAAATAAAGTAAACAGTTTTAATCGCCAATCCACATAGTTATCAGTGGTAGTTGTAGTAGTATTAGTCACTGTAACTAAACTTTCCAAGGGATATTTACGATTGAACTATTTTTAACGTGAATTCTTGCCAACGGTATTTTGCTGTTGTAATATTCTACCTGAATGTAGATTAGGCTTAGACAAAAATTATTTTCAGTATTGGGGTTGTGGAGATTATTAAGCTTTTGATTGAGATCATGAATCGACTGATGTTAGACCACCGTTGGAAACCTGGAAGCACTGGACGGCCGTTTCGTCCTAGTATGGGACTCCTCAGCAGTGCGCATCCACGATTATGATGTTGCGAAGTTTTGAAAGTCCAAGAGATAGTAGATCCATTCTATAGTTATTAATGTTCAGTATTCACGACCAATAGTCTTAACGTATAGAGTTTTATCAGCATCCTAGCCAGTTTTCACAGTTTCAAGTTGAAATCGTTAACTATTCAATATTGAATTAGTGTAGCAATTATTGTATGGTGTAAATTATTTTTCAAGTTCTATAACCTACGCTTACCACCTAAGTATAGTGGACGCGGACTGAAGTCATTACAGAGCATCACCTGTCTCATGATTATAAAGTATATCATATCAACAAGTACTAACTAGTACGAAACATAAGTCGACGATGGTTTCTTCCTGGCTACCACCAACTGACTATCAAATAATTTAACAACTTCATAATCCAATTCTTTTCTATGTCAGTATTGGGGTTGTGGAGATTATAAAGTTGTTTTTTTCTTGATTGAGATTATAAATCGACTGATGTTAGACCACCATTGGAAACCTGGAAGCACTGAACGGCCGTTTTGTCCTAATATGAGACTCTTCAGCAGTGCACATCCACGATTTCGCTTGCGGGATTCAAGCTGAAACCAACATGCACACAATACTTTCGAAGCAAATTTACTACTGATCGAAAAAGTGTGTTTGATTATGATTAATTTTTGAAGAACACATTTTAAATTTCTTCCATAAACATATTGTATATAACTTATTTTGTTTGTTTTAACATATTCTCTTTTTACTTGTAAACTCTCTTTATAAAACAAGTATGCTCAAGAAACAGAATTGTTTGTAATACGTCAACGTCAAAAAGATCGAATCAAATTAATCACATTGTTCCCAGAAGTTCGAGTAAGTTTATTCATTATATATGATTTTTGTTATAATTGATGGGTTTCTTTCCTCCTATCAATGATATCGTCAATTAGAGAACAGTGAATTATCGACCATACTAATGACGCATAAAACAAGTACGAGTAGTCTATAGTCTTTACTGGTTCTGTTTCTCATCTAGCCCTACCTCTTAAGTCTAGAACATCAATCTCAGTCTCTGCAATATGAATCCTGTAATTCAAGCATACTGGGTTTATATACACTAATCAAACAGACTACATTGTACCATAAAATAGAAAATACACATTCATACGAGGTTTAGCTAAAAGTGACTGTGAATGTGGGAGATTGTCGTTGATAGACTTGGCATAACTCAAAAATGGTAAATTGTATAATAATAGTTCATAGGTGAAAATAAAGCTTATAATAAGAGGAACATGAATATAAATAGTTTAGTGACTTAACAATTATACGATAAGCATATGCGCATAGTATTGATCCATAAATGGATCCTAAAGATTACCATTCATTATTCTCATTAGGATATAACAGTTTTGTTAGATGGTGGTTTGAGGTAGTCGACAGGAAACCGTGGACCCGTGTTTTGTGCTACTTGGCACTTGTTAGCAAGGTGTACCTGTAATCTTGAGGAAACTATTGCTCCCTGACTGACTCGACCCCGTGTCACTCAGGTTCACAGTCAGAGACTTTACCACTGACCTATCTGGGCCGCGACTGACCTCATGTAGAACTGAGATGTAATCACAATTGATTGATCACTGGGTGGTGATCAATGTCATGTGTGTTTGGTGACTCGACACTGTGTGCGAATCACTTAGACTAGTGGATACATTGCAACTTGGTCGATAGCATTTGATCTGCACTAATAAGGATTTAACACACATGACATTGATCACCACCCAGTGATCAATAAATTGTAATAACAGTTTTGTTTTTCTTACTCATCAGTTGTTGTGTTATGTAATTCTACTCCACTTTACTGTATGTTCTTTTTGATGATATAAAGAACTAATATTCCTTATAATTCCTAGTAAAGGTTTGGATTGTTAATATTCATGACTGACTTTTGATCGATCTCTAGTAGCACTATTAACATTTGTTTCTTTTGTATTTCAAGACTAAATTACATAAAAGTCATTCATATTTATTTGGTTATTTTACTGACTCAACGTCTCTGTTCATCTTGTTAAGATATTGGATAGTCAGAGCCAGTTGTTAATAAGTTTTGAATGTAGATTTTTTGCTAATTATGTAATGTGTACTACTTATGTCGATAGATATAAGTAGTATGTAGCATCAATTGGAATTGGAATGTCTGGCAGCAGAAGGTTAAGAAGATCGAATGATTGTTATAGAAATGAAAGAACAATAAAGTCTGAGACAATTGATGAATATTTTGTAAATGAAGTACTGAACGTACGGTGTTCATATTTTACCAAATAACACTGTAATTCTGTGATAATACATATTTTGTCGTCCCCAATTATATTTTTGTTCATTACAGTTAATCGTCATTGATAAGATTTATCAGAAATTGATGCTTCAGATTGGATTTGGATCAATGTCCTGTGTTGATATTGTTAAAAAGTTTAATAGCTGAACAATTTGTACTTTGATTGACTACTTAATCAGTTACTTAATATTAACCGATATCATCTTATATAATCTTTAATAGTTATCAAGGTTTATAAATGAAATGATTCAATGATTTAACTGAAGTTTCCAATAGGTTACTGAGTCTACTGGACTTACTACCTCTTTCACTCAATCACATACTAAATTGTATCACTAACTAACCTTTCATAGCAGTTGTTTTGATAAACATATAGGAATGAGCTTAAAAAATCACTTCAACTCTTAGTTAGGCAGAAAATAGCTAATATAAATGAGTTCATAATTAGGTGTTATTATAGGGCTAAAATCAGAGTTTGGATTAGCATTAAGGATCTAACTATATGGTTTCTTTGGGTATTATCTACATTATCTTCACAGAAAAAGTTCAGTATCTAGTACCTTTAACATTACCATCTTTATTCCATAATGACTGTACAAAAATTCAATACCTATATTCATTATTTTGATTGGTTTACTACTATCGTTTACTTTCCCTGACCGTTGTTGCTACTTTGACGTGGTGGTCGAACTTACCTATCATGATGAAGCAACCGTGCTATATTGGCCGGAACAACCGTTCCTCAAGCTCTTACCATGCCAGACAGGTCAGTTGAAGAGCGGTAAGACTAAAAGCAGTAAACCCAAGGTCTGAGGGCGAAGTCGTACTGCTGACTGTACAGAAGTGTGACAGCAGTAAGGTGTTTCTTTCAGACAACCAGCATAACAGCGATGCTGCCTTCCCACAAGGAGGGTTGGGGTTAGGTTAGGTCGACCCTAAAAATGCACACCTCATTTTATCCCACGAATATCCGTCTCTGGCGGTAAGGTCTCAACAAGTACGTAGCTAACACGAAATCTACTCATAAAAAGGTCGTGTGTGACTGACCTCAATCAGCTATCCCTTGGGCACTGCGGTCACGCTCTCAGGTCTCTAAGACCACCTGTAATCCAATTCCCTTTTCAGGTACCTCCAAAAGAACCCTTCCACGGTTTGGGCAACCGGGAAGTGATAAGCGCCCTCATACCTCCTCTAACAGCCCCCAAATGCCCTGGTACGGCCGAGAGTGGGGATAGTCCGCTCACCCTCTCAAAATGCTCACACATGGCCACGCGTATATAGCCTCTGCCAGGGAAGTCCTACTCACTGCATTCACGTGGCGGGGGTGTTGTTTACGAAAATGAGAGGACGAAAAGCGAATGTCCGGCGCTTTAACCGGATTCCAAACCAATGGTGCACATGGGCTCCAGTATCCTAAGGGAACAAATGGAGGTATGAACCAATCGTTGGTCACCGGCTACCATGGGACTGCATCTCCTTACGATGCTCCACTGTCTTGTGGGTCAGACTTTCAGGTCGAAGGCTCGGGGTGTGGCCCCCCTAAGAGATCCACCTGCTTCGGTTTGAACACCCGGGTAGTATCCCAGCCCTCACACACATCTAATGAGATCTGTGCGGCGCATATGTATTTGGTGCCTCCTTGTACCAATATTTGTGTTGAAATAAAAATAAAATAAACCTCCTCTAACACCACCCAAGACCATCCTTTACTTTCACCTTATATTTATACTTGAAAGTACAAATACACATCATAAAGTCACATTCTTATTGAATGATTTAATCATTTAACTTCCAATTCATTATTATCATGTCAAGTCGTTTTTATTTATTAAATAGTTTAGACAATTTAGATTAAAACTAATGACCTAATTCAATTATATTACTACATTTGTCAAATTCACTATGTGATCTGTTCTAATGGTCATTCATATGGATAGTTTTAGAGATTATAAAGTGTATAGATGAGTGGGAGGCGATGAACTTAAATATACATAGTATTATCGGAAATATCACTTTACCTATTTATAGTCAAACTAATTGGAATGAATTGTACCTTTTTTATGATTGTGTGTCTTTTCTTTTAAACATAAGTAAGTCAGTCAATAACGTAGAACTTTGTACGTACATACAACAATTCGAGTTACTTTACCATGTTAGCACACAGATACAATTATCAATTCAAATCTCATAGTTGTAGAGGAAGTAAGAGTATAAGCAGTAATTGGAAAGCTTAGGGTTTGAAGATGTTATTCAAGGAGTATAATCCTTTGAAATCAATTTGGAAAGAGAAAAAAAAAGAAAGGGACATGAAGAATTCAGAAGATTAGAACTTGGGAGTACACAGAGAGTAGATGCACCTGCTCCATTACAAACGATTTTGAGCCATGTCATTCAAGGTCTCTAACCATCGGTTGCTATCATCTCGCGGTCCCTAACCAAGTAGTCTACATCTACCAACATGGCTCAGACCACTTTTCAGTGATCTGGCCACCCTTAGCTTTCTTCCAACCTATTCATACACCATAAAACATCGCACGCCGGGGCAGTCGGTGGTTGGGTATGCATAACACGTGTCCCAGACATCTTAACTGATGAAGTTTCACTACTTCACCAATTAATTTGCCATCCTTACCTATTACCCATCTCCTCACAACTGCATTACTTATTCGGTGATCCCAGAATATACGAGCAATGTTTCGAAAACATCTATGATCGAATACTAGTAACCTACGAATATCCTCTCTTCTTACCGGCCATGTTTCACTGTCATAAAGTAGGACGGAACGAACTGTTGCGCAATAAACCCGTCCTTTGGCTGGTAGATGGATATCTCGTCTACACCACAAATGACTCAAGTTGGCAAAAGCTAGTCGAGCCTTTTGTATCCGTGCTGAGATTTCGTCACACACCAAACCACAAGGGCTGATGAGACTACCTAGATAAGTGAAGCGGTCGATACGCTCAACTACTTCACTCCCTATCATTAGTTCGGGTGTTGATGCAACCCAATCCTGAAGCAACGCTTTTCGTTTCGAGGGTGAGAATCGTATCCCCAACATGGTTGCATTGTTGCTTAGAGTTAGTCAATTAGTCAGCTACAATTTAGGACTAGGCACATATATGCATCGATCCAAGGTGCCATGCCTCATTAGCACAACAAGATGAATACTGGATTCATAAAAGTAGTTAATTTAGTGGTGGTAATATATCAAAGAAAAATTGTGCATAAGGACGTAGTACAGGAAGAAAGAATTAGTTCCTAGAAAGAAAGATATGAAGCGATTTTAATCTCTTAGCTTAAAGGGAGACAGAGAGTGTATACACCGACGCAATTAGTTCGTAGAAAGAAAGATATGAAGCTATTTTAGTTTCATAGCTTGAAGGAAGGCAAAGTGTGTATACATCTACACCATTATGATCGATTCTGAGTCATGTCACACACAGTCTCGAATCACTGGTTACGATAGTCACGAGAACCCTAAATATGTTTTTCTTTTTGATTGAGGTCATGAACCGATTGATGTTAGACCACCATTGAAAATTTGGAAGCATTGGGCGGCCGTTCCGTCGTATTGTCGGGCTTCTCGGCAGTGTGCATCCACGATCCTGCTCGCGGGATTGAACCCAGGGCTTTCAGTCTCGCGCGCGAACGCCTAACCTCTTGATCGTTGAGTTGCTTAGAGTGGTCAGATGACTCTGTATTTTACCAGCGTCTTCACCAAATAGAAGTATGTTACCTGCATATTCTACGTCAACAAATGAACCTACCGGTAAAAGTTCAACCGCTAGAAATTTAGATGAGGAAAGTGTTATCTCTAAAAGCACCTCAACGACAAAGTTAAACAAGTATGGAGAGAGTGGACAGTCCAGACGAACACCGCTTGAAGTAATCAATTCTGATGACAGTTCACCATATTCTTCCAACAATAATAAAGGTTTATTATCACTGGAGGTACTGATTACCCATAGAGGAGATCTTATGGCTGTTTCACCTCACTAGATTCTTTAGTATGATTTCTTACGTAAACATTAAAATGAAAACACTGCTTTAATATTCATTACACTTCAGTAGATCGATTTAATGTCAAATGATTTCAATGTAACTTGGGATCTAAATTTTATATCAGTTAGCCCTTATCCATAAGAAGTACAAGTAATCTTGTGCAAGTGATGTTGAGTCACTTAAATTAGTAACCATATTATAATCCGATCAAGATTAAGTATTAGACAAACATGATATTGATCATTATTCAGTAATCAGTTAGTATGCCGCTAAATGCTCTGGTACTGCCGAGAGTGGGGAGAGTCAGCTCTTCCTCTCCAAATCCTCTCATATGGCCGCGTGCACAAAACCACTGCCAGGAAAGTCCTACTCAATGCTTTCTCGCGGCATCACTGTTGTTTACGAAATCGAGAGAACAAAAAAGCGAATGTTCATCGCTTTAACTGTGTTGGTGAACATGGAGAGTCTACCTAGGTGAGTTAGAAATCTCTGATTTAAAACCAATGGTACACATAGGCTGGTTCCAGGATCCTAAGAAAACAACTGGCGTGTGAACCAATCGTTGGTCACTGGTTATCATGGGACTGCATCTCCTGATGTTGTTTCACTGCATTTTACATTAGACCTTTAGGTTGTTGGCTTCGAATCGGGCACCCGTACAGTATCATAGCCTTTATACAAATCGAATGATTTATGTGGCGCATATCTATTTGGTGCTTTCTTGTACTAATGTTTATATGTTTAAATAAATAATCGGTCAGTATGAGTACTTGTTTGTTATTTATTTATTTTAACACATAGATATTGGTAAAAGGAGGCACCAAATATGTATGCATCACACAGATCTCATTTGATGTGTGTGAGGGCTGGGATACTACCCGGGTGCCCAAACCGAAGCAGGTGGTTTTCTTAGGGGGCCACACCCGGAGCCTTCGACCTGAATGTCTGATTCAAAAGGCAGTGGAGCATCGTAAGTAGATGCAGCCCCATGGTAGCCGGTGACCAACGATTGGTTCATACACCATTTGCTCCTTCAGGATTCTGGAGCCAAACCATGTACACTGCTGCTTTGGGATTCGGTTAAAATGCCGGACATTCGCTTTTCGTCCTCTCATTTTCGTAAACAACAGTAATGCCACTTGAAGGGATTGAGTAGGACTTCCCTGGCAGTAGTTTTATGCACGTGGCCATGTGAGAGCATTTTGAGAGGGAGAGCTGACTCTTCTCACTCTTGGCCTTACAAGGGCATTTGGCGGCACTACTTGTTTGTATTTGATGTCACATGGAGTACTCTAATACACATTGAATCATTAATCTAATTTGTCAATTAAAGACTTGAGTTATCTCACTTGAATATTTTCAATTATGTTTTTTCTTTGTTTTGTTTTTGTTTTATCTTCTCAAAATTAGATACATCAACATAAAATGAAAATGTCCTATTCATCACATGAAAATAATAGTAATGTAATCATTAACAATTTGAAAGATTCACCATTTTCACCATTTCCTGAACGTACAATTGAATTATGTAATCGACGATATTTAGCAACATGTTTATGTTTATATTCAAAAATTCAAGCTAATTTAGAAATATCAGGGAATTCGTTATCTTCCCATTTAGAGAATGTAAGTTTTGTTTTTTTGTCCTGTTTCTAATTTAGATGTTAATATATATATATATATATATATATTTTAATAGAATTATTATTTACAGTTGAATTCATCAGTCAATTAAATCTAGACCATCATAGAAAGCTTGGAAGTACTGAACGGTCGTTTTGTCCTAGTATGGGATACAGATATTGGTATAAGGAGGCATTAGATATATATTCGCCACACAAATCTCATTTGATTTGTGTGAGGGCTGTGATACTGTCTGGGTGCTCAAACCGAAGTAGGTGGTTTACTAAGGAGACTACACTTGGAGCCTTCGACCTAAAGGTCTAATTCCGTGTTCACTAAACCAATCAAAGCACCGGACATTTGCTTTTTGTCCTCTGAATTTCGTAAACAACTTCATCGCCACGTAACTGCAGGGAGTAGGACTTCCCTGGTAGAGGTTATATACGCATGACTATGTGAGAGCATTTGAAGAGGGAGAGCGGACTCTTTCCACTCTCGGCCGTACCATGGTTCGAACCCAGGACCTATCGGTCTCATGCGACGTGTCAGTCAGCAACAACGTAGAACTTCGTACGTACGTACTTACATCAGTTCCAGTTGCCAAGCCACATTGGTACAGAGATGTAGTTGTCGATTCAAATCCCATAGTGGTAGAGGTAATAAAAGTTTAAGTAGTAATTGAAAACATTAGGGTTTGAAGATGTTATTGAATGAGTATAATCCAATGAAATAATTTTGAAAACAGAAAACAAGGAACATGAAGAATTCAGAAGATTAGACTTCAGGGAACACAAAGAGTTATTTATTTATTTATTTATTTGAACACATAAATATTGGTACAGGGGGGCACCAAATATATATGCGCCACACAAAACAATGATAATTTGAAGAGAAGGAGAAAAGAGAAAAAAAAAGTAATGAACTTGGGTAATTATCAAAAAAAGAGAGAGAGAACAATGATGGGGAGAATGGAAAGGTACAATCAGAAGAGATCTTTCAGTTAAGGAAGGTACAACCACTTTTTATGAAGAAAGTAAGAGGTTACAGCACGATCGCCACTGGCTTCTATTCTTAGCCATATCTGATAACGTCTCTAGCCACTGCGTTACACCGTCTCTCGGACCCAAACCAGGTAGTCGTGAAGGACCAGCAGAAGCTAGCTCTTTGCAGCTTTCTTTCACACCACGACACCATGTCATATACTGACCACCTCTCCGCTTTTTCCAACCAGTCCCAGAGTCGGCAAATAATGCACGGTATGGAATTCTCTGGGACGACATTCGTAGAACATGTCCAAGCCACCGAAGTCGGTGTTGCAAGATGGTGACACCAATTTCATTATCGTCTCTGTGACCGAACACTCGATGCTGAACCTCTGCATTACTGACATGGTGTTGCCACTGGATGCCAGCAATCCTTCGGAGGCAACGATGATCGAACACAGAGAGTCGTCTAACATCCTCAACTCGGAGAGGCCAGGTTTCACAAGCATAGAGCAAAACTGCTCTCACCGTCGCGTTGTAGATCCGACCTTTTACAGGCAGACTAACATCACGAAGGCTCCAAAGGTGGCCCAGATTGGCATAAGCCGCTCTGGCTTTCACTATACGTGCATTGATCTCATCACTCACGCCACCACCAGCACTTATGCAGCTACCTAGATACACGAACTTCTCGACTACTTCAATCTGCTCACCATCCAGAGTGAGTACAGGATTAGAATCCTGCCAGTCTTGTAGAAGAACTTTGCACTTCGAAGGTGCAAAGCACATACCATACCTACGGACACTGATTGCCAACTGATTAAGTGCGGATTGCATGGCTTGGGCATTCTCGCACAGTAAGACAATATCATCCGCATACTCAAGGTCGAGAAGTCTTTCTCCAGGCAACAGATCCACACCACCATTACTTACATCCGTCAGAGCTGTTTCCAGAATGTCATGGATGGCAAAGTTGAAGAGGAATGGTGAGATTGGGCAACCCTGCCTAACCCCACTGCTCGAATGGAATAGTGGAGAAAGGTGATTGTATGCCCTCACTCTGCCTGAGGTGTTTGTGTATAGGGCTTTTAGGATGTTAATAAACTTCTCAGGCACACCCTTCTTCAATAGACAATCCCAGAGAACAGTTCTGTCCAACGAATCGAAGGCAGCCCTGATATCAAGAAACACTACGATTATTGGCCTTTGATAAGTACGGCGGTGTTCTAACACTTGGCGGAGGGTGAAGATATGATCAATACATCCTCGACCAGAACGAAACCCAGCCTGCTCCTCGCGAGTCAATCCTTCTCTGGTTTTGAACAACCTACGAAGTATAACGGAAGCCAATAGCTTGGACGCAATCGGAAGTAGACTTATCCCCCGATAGTTGTTACAGGAACAACGTGAACCCTTTTTAAAGATAGGGACAACTATCGACTCATTCCATGACGTTGGTACACTCTCTAGTTCCCAGATCTTTGTAAACAACGTCGTCAGTCCCTTAGTCAAAAAGTCACCACCATCTTTAAAAAGAGCCGGAGGTAAGTCGTCTGGGCCCGGTGATTTGTAACGTTTCAAGAGTTGGAGTTCCTTGCGGACTTCCGCCTCATTTGGTGGATCAGTCGTCACCGGCCATGGAGGGCAGGACAGTCTGACCGATGTTGCCGGAGCAGCAGGCCAGTTGAACTGCCCTTTAAAGAATTCTGCCCATCGTCCAAGACGTCGATGAATGTTAGTGATTGGCGTTCCGTCATCTTCGCAGATTGTTTCGCTCACACCAGACTTCTTGCTGCCAGTGGCTCGGATGAGTTGGAAGAGCTTCCGGTAATTACCAGATGCAGCTGCTGCTTCCAACTCACTGGCACGCTCCGACCACCAGGCTTCTCGGTCCTTACGCAAGCTTTGCCCGATTTCATTACGTAACATCCTTCATCTGTGGTCAAACTCACGGTCACCCGGAGTAGACCGACGGGCTTCAATCAATTGTAAGGAACCAGAAGAAACGCAGTGCTTGTAAGCGGGACGTTTCGCAAACCCACAACAGACTGTACCCGCCATTTTCATGGCGTCATGCAATTGCAACCAATGCTCATCTATACTTTTCGGTGGAATGGTAGCTAGCCTAGAAGCTAGCTCGGTTCGGTACTTACTAGCAACAGAAGTTGCAGCCAGCTTGCTAACATCAATCCTTTGGTGGCGGTCACTTCGTTGTCCACTGAAAAGTAAGGTAAGATTGGCGCAGACCAGAGCATGATCAGATTCCAGATAGGTACTCCAAAAGGAGCGGCAGTCTTGTACACAACCGCGCCAGCGGTAGCTGATCGCGATGTGATCAATCTGAGTCCAGGCTTGAGATGCAGAAGGGGGACGCCAGGTGGCACATCGGCGATGACTGTGCCGAAAGTTAGTGCTAGCCAGAAACAGGTTGTGGTCTGTGCATAGTTGCAGTAGACGTTCCCCGTTATCTGTTCTGCGACCAACGAGTCCCCATCGGCCACCTAAACGACTCTCTTCTGTGCCTAGACGCCCGACCTGAGCGTTCAAGTCTCCAGCTAGTACTACAATATCTGTCGAACGCACTTTCTGGAGAAGAACAGTTAGCTGATGGTAGAACTCGTCCTTGATTGCATCCGGGCTGCAATCTGTCTGGGCATAGGCGGAGATGACGAAAAGACATCGTTTCTCACGCCGATTTCTTCTCACTTTGATGGAACTTTCTAATCTAACAGCACATAACCGACTGTTAATGGGGATCCAGTCGACTAGTGCTGCCTCAGCTCTTGCGCTTAGTGCGACACCAACGCCAGCAAGACCAGACGAAGATGCCACAGGGTCCCCGGATAAACGCACATAAAACAAGCTTTTTGAAGCGACAGATGGAGAGCGAACTTGTAGTACTTCACCAGAGTCTTGAATACGGGTCTCGGATAGATAGCACACATCAATATTAAGACTTTCCAAAGACATAGCCAGCCCTATCTGTTGTCCGACCTGCATAAGTGTGCGAACGTTGAAGGTAGCCAGTTTGAATGGTGCACGTGGTTTCAGAAAAACTGCTTCAGTACTCATATTCGGTATTAACATACAATTTTCAACCAGGCAGTGACTCGAGAACGTTTAGATAAAGCTGAGTTTTTACCATAGGCGAGCTGCTGTCTGAGTCGAAACGGATACAAAAAGTAGAAATAGGAGATAGTGAATAAATGACGTAGTAAATAATAATAATAACAATAATAATAATAATAATAATAATAATACCAGTCATTTCAATGTTGCGTGTCATCCTTGCGCAGGGGCCATGCTAATTTTCTCTGTATCGTTCCAATTTTAGTATATGTACCGCCGAAGCGAGTACACACATATCCAATGAGATCTGTGTGGCGCATATGTATTTGGTGCCTTCATGTACCGATATCTATGTGTTAAAATAAATAAATAAATAAACATTTCAATGTTAGTCGGAGAGAAACGAATATTTTCCATAAGCAGATAGTTCATCATAGTTTTAGTGTGTGGGCTGGGATACTGCCCGGGTGCCCAGACCGAAGCAGGTGGTTTTCTTAGGGGGCCACACCCCGAGCCTTTGACCTAAAGGTCTAGTCCACAAGGCAGTGGAGCATCGTGAGGAGATGCAGTCCCATGGAAGCCGGTGACCAAAAGTTGGTTCATACGCCATTTGTTCCCGCAGGATACTGGAGCCCATGTGCACCATAGAATTGGGATCCGGTTATAGCACCGGACGTTCGCTTTTCGTCCTCTCATTTTTGTAAACAACAGTAATGCCACGAGAAGGCAGTGAGTAGGACTTCCCTGGCAGAGGCTGTATACGCGTGGCCGTGTGAGAGTATTTCGAGAGGGAGGGCGAACCCTCCCCGCTCTCGGCCATACCAGGGCATTTGGGGGCGAACATGGCATATATCCATGAAGTCACTGTTAGTAGGTACAGACTACCTGGTTGGGATCCACGCGACAATGATGACCGATGGTTAGAAATCTTGAAGGATATAGCTCAAAATCGTTTGCAATGGCACAAGTGTATCCACTCTTTGTGTTCTCTCAAACTCTAATCTTCTAAATTCTTCATGTCCTTTATTTTCTTTCCAAATGTATTTCACTGGATTATACTCATTGAATAACATGTTGAAACCCTAATCTTTCCACTTACTGCTTATACTCTTATTTCCTCTACTATTATAAGATTTGAATTGACACTTGTATCTGTGTGCTAACATTGTAAGGCAACTCGAATTGATGTACGTACATATGAAGTTCCCATAGTGGTAGAGGTAATAAAAGTTTAAGTAGTAATTGAAAACATTATGGTTTGAAGATGTTATTCAATGAGTGTAATCCAGTGAAATAATTTTGAAAACAGAAAACAAGGAACATGAAGAATTCAGATGATTAGACTTCAGGGAATACAAAGAGTAGATTCACTTGTGTCGTTGTAAACGATTTTGATCTATGTCAAAATCATAATCATTAGTGTTTAATCAAGTCTGTTGTAAGATTGTAATTTACTAAAGACAATAGTGGACGGTTGCGCAATTCCATGCATTAGTTGAAGTTAGACATTAACACCATTGGATGCCAGTTCAGTGGTCCAGAGGTTAAATGTTCGTGTGTGAGACCGATAGGTCCTGTGTTCGAGTGTGGCTTATGGGATTCTGGATGCTCACTGCTAAGAAGTTCTATACTAGGACGAAACAACCATCCAGTGCTTCCCGATTTTCCATGATGACCTACCTTTAATTAACTCATCAATTCAATGATAGAATTACTAAAATCTCCACAAAACCCCCCTTCTGAAAATATATTTACATTTGTTTGTTATAAATATAATTTTCATTTCATAATACTTTTGTGTATAGAAAATTATGTTATTTACATGTATAATTAGTATGATCAACTTTCAACTATTGTATGAGTAATTTATTCGAACTTTACTTTGTCTATTTTAATTTGGAAATATCAATCTACATGAAAACGAACCCATTCTTCCTGTTTGTTTTTGTTTTTAACCTCAGTCTATGTAGATCATTTCAAGTTGCTACTAGATAAGGATGGCCAATCAATTGATGAAGTAATGAAACATCATCATTTGAGATGGCTGAGACATGTATTACGTATGCCCAATCACCAACTGCCCCGATGTGCGATGTTTTATGGTGTCAGTCAGTCATCTGCAATGTAGGACCAGGCACATATATGCATCGGTCAAAGTTGCCATACCTCATTAGCACAACATGATGAACACCGGATTGGTGGAGCAGGTTAGAAGAAAGTTAAGGATGCCCAGATCAAAACATGGCATATATCCATGAAGTCACTGTTAGTAGGTACAGACTACCTGGTTGGGATCCACGTGACAATGATGACCGATGGTTAAAGATCTTGAAGGATATAGCTCAAAATCGTTTGCAATGGCACAGGTGTATCCACTCTTTGTGTTCTCTCAAACTCTAATCTTCTAAATTCTTCATGTCCTTTATTTTCTTTCCAAATGTATTTCACTGGATTATACTCATTGAATAACATGTTGAAACCCTAATCTTTCCACTTACTGCTTATACTCTTATTTCCTCTACTATTATAAGATTTGAATTGACACTTGTATCTGTGTGCTAACATGGTAGGGCAACTCGAACTGATGTACGTACGTATGAAGTTCCACGTTGTTACTGACTGACTGACTGACTGACCTAGAGTAGTAGAGGTAGTACTAGAAAAGATTACATATCGAAGGTACAATTCATTAAAATATAAATTAATAAAGTAATACAAAGTTATAAGGAATTCAGAATCTAAATAAAAACAAAAGGTGAATGCATCTGAACTATTACGAATTAGTTTTCTTGTGATTTTGTACATTGGAATATAAGTTAATTGTTTCAAATTAAAATTACATTGTAATTTGAACATAGATGACAAAAAAGTTCTAACAATTAGGAGTTTTATTCGTTGACATAGGAGAACAGTAAATGACCTATGAAATGGATCTTATTCAATAGTTTATAACATTGAATCATGCGTTACATTCAAACGAAACAAGATTGTTGTTTCACTTATCTGTTTGTTTCAATGTAAGCAAAGAGAGAGAAGGAGAGAAAGAGGAAGAAATAAATCACTGATGTATTTGTATACTTACCATAACTTTTTATTGATATATTTTTAGCCAGAACCATATTTTGTTACTATTTTTCTTGTGGATATCAATGATGGACATCGTGTGAGTGAAGATTTCTATTGGAATCCTAATTCATTAATTATTGATTCAATGTTACCAATAGATCAATATAAAAATTTACCATGGTTTTCATCGAATAATCAATCTTCTGAAATAAATCATGATCATCATGATCCTAATCATGATCATCATCATTCAATATTTAATCAATCGAATATTATTTCATCATCTCATCGAACAACACGTAGACATGCACCACCACCACCACCACCAAACAATAATCTTATGTCTCCATATGGAACACAATGTTCTATTCCATTAGATTGTTTATATAAGTGTCGTACAGTGAGTGATTATGTTCTATTGTTTGTTTTTTTTTTAAATTTTTTGTTGCCCCCCCAAATGCCCTGGTACGGCCGAGAGTGGGGAGAGTTCGCTCTCCCTCTCGAAATGCTCTCACATGGTCACGCGTATATAGCCTCTGCCAGGAAAGTCCTACTCACTGCCTTCTCGTGGTGGGGGTGTTGTTTACAAAAACGAGAGACGAAAAGCGAATGTCTGGCGCTTTAACCGGACCCCAAACCAATGGTGCACATGGGCTCCAGTATCCTGCCTGTGGGAACAAATGGCGTATGAACCAATCGTTGGTCACCGGCTACCATGGGACTGCATCTCCTCACGATGCTCCACTGCCTTGTGGATCAGATCTTCAGGTCAAAGGCTCGGCGTGTGGCCCCTTAAGAAAACCACCTGTTTCGGTTTGGGCACCCGGTCAGTTTCACAGCCCTCACACAAATCAATTGAGATTTGTGTGGCGCATATGTATTTGGTACCTCCCTGTACCTATACTTATGTGTTAAAATAAATAAATAAATATTGATATTAGAAATAATATTGATCAATGTATACTTTGTCTTTAACGTTCACATTAAGGCTATATGGTTTCAATGATCAGTTATATATATTTACTCAACAACAAAAAAAAAGGTTGATCGATTAAAGTTTTCTGATTCTAATTGAATAGCAGATTAAATTTAGTTGTTAGTTTAATTGTACTTTTGTAATGGTATACGTTTGAGTCGATTTGATTTCAGTATTCAATCAGGAGTTGTTTTTTTTTGTTGTTGTTGTCAAGTCAGAAGTTATCTTCAAATCGCTTCACTTTAATCTGTTGGTTTTTTATGGATGGATGTATCAAGTACATAGTTATGTTCACTCATCTTTGAGTTGAACTGTTTTATGTGTATAAGAAAAGGAGTAGTAATACTAGCCATCTGAAAAGAAAGTAAATGGGTTGAGGTTCCAATCTGGGTCTTAACGATCTCATAGCCATCAGTAACCCTGATAACCTTAGAGTTATGTAGAGAACATAAGGGTATATGGCAAATGTAGATATATTCCTAGGAGTGTAGGTTTTATTTTTGACTAGAAGGTACTTTTAAAAATGATTAATTTGTGTTTATTTTGCTGGTTTTCATTAAAGTGATTAATTGGTTTGTATTTTGTAACCACTGAACACCGATTACTACGATGCGCAATGCTGACTAGTATAGGGGATGGTTGGAAAAAAGTTAGGGGCAGCTAAACCAAAACATGGAGTCAGTCCGCGAAGTCACTAACTTCTAGTCTGAGCCATGTTGGTAGATGCAGACTAATTGGTTGGGGTCCGTGTGACTCTCGTAAGCAACGGTTGGAGATTCTTGGTGACAAGACTCACAATCGTTCACAATGACGTCGGTGTATACCCTCTCTGTCTTCCTTTAAACTAAGAGATTAAAATCGCTTCATATCTTTCTTTCTACGAATTACTTCCTTCTTGTATGCAGTCCTTCTTTTATATATTACCACCACTGAATGAATGAATAGGTTTCTTACGTTTTTCTTTTCAAGAATAACATCTACAAACCCTAATCTTTCCAATTACTACTTACACTTTTACTACCTCTACCACTATGGGATTTGAATCGACAGTTGTATCTGTGTGCTAATATGGTATGGCAACTGGGACTGATGTACGTACATACGAAGTTCTACGTTGTTGCTAATTGACTGACTAACCTCGTTTTTTTTTCTTTCAAAAAGTCATGTATCAACATACGATCAAACTGCGTAACTTTAAGTTGTTTAAAATTAAAACGTAATGGTTTGTATGTCTACTGTGTTATTCTTGACTGGTGTATTTTTATTCGATTATACTTTCTGAAACATTATGATTCCTGTTGCTTTATTTTACACATGAATAGTGGCCTAATGATTAAGTATATTGGATTTTAAACAATTAGGTTACATTCACTCGATATTGTTTTTGTTTTTCATTTGTTTGAATCTTCCCATTGATGTTTAGGACTGAAATTGTTCAGTCTCTTATTGGCATATGTGCATACTGTGCGTATGCCTCGATATTGCCTTAATTTACAAGCATTATAAGCAAAGGTGGACTCAGTAGCTAAGTGGATAACGCGATGGCGTTTGAAGCGGACGGTACTGGGTTCGAGTCCCGGAGTGAACATCAACTCTGAGATGCAGGTACATCCAGCTGACGAGTCCCAAATAGGACGAAACGCGCGTCCTGGATTCCACTGCTAGCCACTATCATCCACCTTTGCTTATAATTAGGTTACATATTAGGACATGTACTCTACTTTAAAAAAACCGCATCTTATCTCTATACCCATCATATAAATATACATGTTTCATACTTCACAATACTAACTATTGACTTTGAACAAGAATGGAAAACTAAGTGGTTTTGAGCACGAGATAGTACAGAATTTTTGAGTTTTGTAGTTTACATCATGTATTGACCTTAATTAACATGTTTTTTATTCTCTTACTATGGGACTCCTCAGCAGTCACCACTTATGACCAACCCTTCCGTAGACTTTCAGTCCTTGCGTCAAGTACTCAACAATTATTCCACTGAGTCGATGTACATTATTTTATATTTCTGACTTAGTCATATGCTCACTGGTGACTAATTTTGAGACATAATACTTGGAATTCCAGTGAAAAACCATGTCTAGTAAAGTTCAACTATATCGTGAGTCAGGTACTTATCTACCAATGACATTGGAAAATAATTGCGTAATGTTTTAAATTGATTGAATTTAGAAATGTAAGTAACTGAATCCAGACTCACTGGTCTAAAGGTTAATCGCTTACTACACGTCTTCCATTTAATTCCCATTGGGATCGTAAATACACTTTGTTCTGAGGATTCTCATACTAGGCTGAAACAGTTGTCTAGTGCTTTCGGGTTTCCATTGATTGTCTTATCAATGTTAGACTTTGATGCAAACTATAAAATTTAACAATAACCACAACCCCCTACACTAGTTTTATTTATTTATTTATTTGAACACATAGATATCGGTGCAAGGAGGCACCAAATAGAGATGCGCCACATAAATCATTCGATGCAGTCCCATGGTAGCCGGTGACCAACGATTGATTCATACGCCATTTGTTCCTTCAGGATACTGGAGCTAGCCCATGTACACCATTGGTTTTGGATCCGGTTAAAGTGCCGGACATTCGCCATTTGTTCCTTCAGGATACTGGAGCTAGCCCATGTGTACCATTGGTTTAGAATGAGGGTTTTTCAACTCCCCTAGGTGTACTCTTCGTGTCCACCAGCTCGGTTAAAGGGCCGGACATTCGCTTTTCGTCCTCTCAATTCCGTAAAAAACACCCCAATGGCGAGGAGGTAGTGAGTAGGACTTTCCTGGCAGAGGCTATATACGTGTGGCTATGTGAGAACATTTTTCGAGGGAGAGCGGACTGTCCCCACTCTCGGTCGTACCAATGCAGTTAGGGGTTTCAATTGACTCATGATCTCAATTATTAAGATTCCTAAAATCTCCACAAAACCCCTTATACTAGAAATGAACATGTTCGGCATACATATGTTATATTACATTAGATTCGAAATAGATTATGTTTGTTTGTTTTTAATTCCATGCTATTTAATGAACTGATATCATTGATATAAATCTATAAAGAATAAAACCATTCATTATGTATGAATGATTCATGTACAACTGTCAATGGTATACATCACCTGTACATGTTTGACATTTTTCTCATTATAGTTGTAGTCCTTAACCTAATCATTGCCACATCACACACACACACACTCAGTAGTCTGAAACGTTTATTCACCGAGGGTATTCATTTGTTTAAGTTTCATAATGTGAACACAATAAACAGAATTGATATGATAACTTGTCTGTTGATCACAATACAGTTCAATTTATATAATATTGATAAGTTTTCTAAATTCAATAAATTACTACTTAAAGGTAATTTGTTAGTCTATTGATATGACGGGATAAAAAGGTAAGGTAAGACATCTAAGTAAATATCATTAGTGGTTTTTTATTTACATTGTGAATACAAATGCCCTGGTAGGGCCGAGAGTAGAGAGAGTCCGCTCCCCTCCCCCTCGAATTGCTTTCACATGACCACGCGTATATAGCCTTTGCCAGGGAAGTCCTACTCACTGCCTTCCCGTGGTGATGGTATTTTTTTCGAAAATGAGAGGACGAAAAGCGAATTTCCGGCACTTTAACCGGATCCCAAACCAATGGTGTACATGGGCTAGCTCCAGTATCCTGATTATTATTATTATTTTAACACATAAATATTGGTACAAGGAGGCACCAAATACATATGCGCCACACAAATCTCATTTGATTTGTGTGAGGGCTGTGATACTGCACGGGTGCCCAAACCGAAGCAGGTGGTTTTCTTAGGGGGCCACACCCCGAGCCTTCGACCTGAAAGTCTGACCCACAATGCAGTGGAGCATCGTGAGGAGATGCAGTCCCATGGTAGCCGGTGACCAACGATTGGTTCATACGCCATTTGTTCCTTCAGAATACTGGAGCCCATGTGCACCATTGGTTTTGGATCTGGTTAAAGCGCCGGACATTCACTTTTCGTCCTCTCATTTTCGTAAACAACACCACCTCCACGTGAAGGCAGTGAGTAGGACTTCCCTGGCAGAGGCTATATACGCGTGACCATGTGAGAGTATTTCGAGAGGGAGAGCGGACTCTCCCCACTCTCGGCTGTACCAGGGCGTTTGGGGGCCCAGTATCCTGAAGGAACAAATGGGGTATAAACCAATCATTGGTCACCGGCTACCATTGGACTGCATCTACTTACGTTGCTCCACTGCATTGTGGATCAAACGTTCAGGTCGAAGGCTCGGGGTGTGGCCCCCTAAGAAAACCACCTGCTTCGGTTTGGGCACCCGGGTAGTATCACAGCCCTCACACATATCAAATGAGATTTGTGTGGCGCATATGTATTTGGTGCCTCGTTGTACCAATATCTGTGTT